TCTTGACTTCCTGCAAAGAGCACATCCTCGAAGGCTGGTTTTTATCCCTTATGGGAGGGGCCGTTACCTTCCTGCCTTACTCCCAAGTCACCCTTGCTGCTCTGTCCTTCGAGCAGCCCTGCGCACACACACCCTGGGCTCAGGCTCCCCGGGGTCCTCTTCTTCACTGCTGCCAGACTCCAAAGGCTCCGAAGGCAGCATCCCACTCTCCGATAGTCCTGGCCCATCCCTGCATCAGACACAGGCCCCTCGTCCAAGTCTTCGCCAGACTCCTTGTGATCCTGCTTCTAAAGATCCTGCTATAGACGATGGAGAAGGACAGATCCCAGACATTGCTCATTGATACAAGGGAAACAGCTCCTTCTCCCTTTTCCCAATGGGCTGCCCGGTTTTTCACCGTTTTTTCATTGCTCAAGGCAGCAAGAATCCTGCAGGGGCAAAAATGCTGTGGAAAACAATTGAGGATTTATTTATTATTATTATTATTATCATTAGCCTTTCTTCCTGCCCTGTTTATGTTGCTGCGTTTTTGTAAGAAGCCATGGGATGATGAGTTCATAAGAAATTGGTAAGAGAGAGAGGGCATTTTTTAATGTGTGCGAGCAGCTCCTGCCATGGAGCTTGATGACGTCCTTAGGGTTGAAAAGGTTTCCTACTTATGTCTTAAGAAAAGGCCGGGTAGAGTTTTCAAAAGAGAGTCTTGGAATATCACTGCATTGATACTCAGCAGGCAGCTGGTTTTTCTCCCCCATTCTTGGCATGGCAGTTGTCTTGGCTCTTATCCTTAGCAGATGGGTAAGATTTGAAAGATGGAAGATTATTGGTTTCCAAGTCAAGGGCCAAATGTTGCAAAGTGAAAGAAAAGTAAATTATAATTCACTTCTGGGAGGAGAGCTTCACAAAATTATAGCCATCTCTTTTAGAGTAGAAAATGCCTGCCCTTTCAGAGTTTGATAGACTAGGTGATAGCATTCTTCTTGCCTCTTGTGAAATGTTTTATAATCTCACATTGGAGCCCTTTTAATGGGCTTGAAAGCAATTGCTTCACAATTTATGATTCACCGTAAACAGTTGGAATCTTTAGTGTGGGGCTGGGAGAGAATCACGTATTTCACTACCGGCTGGCAAAAAAGGGGGATTTTCACCAACTGTGGCTGCTCATTGAGCTGAACGATAATAATTTCTCAAAACTGAGGACGTAGTGGAGCAGAGTGATTGTCTCTTTCCCAAATCCCACTCGCAAGCCTCTTCTTTTCAGTCTTACAATCAAGGGAGCCTGCTTACTTACTTACTGGAGGTAGCCTTATGTCATGTTCTTTTCAGCAATAGCACTTAGCACTAAGACTTATATACCGCTTCACAGTGCTCTACAGCTCTCTCTAAGCGGTTTACAGAGTCCGCCTATTGCCCCCAACAATCTGGCTCCTCTTTTTACCCACCTCGGAAGGATGGAAGGCTAACTCAACCTTGAGCCTGGTGAGATGTGAACTGCCAAATTGCAGGCAGCTGGCAGGCGGCAGAAGTAGCCTGCAGTACTGCACTCTAACCACTGCGCCACCGTGGCTCATTCTCATTGGCCAAAATCCTACCTCTGAGAAGTAGTCCCTTCTACTAGAGCTTTTCCTACTAAATTTGAGGTGATTGTAGAACTCAGTATCAACATATATATATTTGCATTTCTGGAGAAGCTAGGGAGACGTGCCTATTCTGGTATTCTGATTTTTCTCCATCTCGATTTCCTTGTATGTTTCTTTCTTTGGATTTAATCAGAATAAAAAAATCTCTGTGTGTGTGTGTGTTTTTTATTCTCATGTCTTTTCAATAACTTACAGTTGATTCCTTCCCTTCCAGCTGGCAGTGAAAACTGTTTTGCAGCTCTTAAGCTTTGTTTCCTTTTTTTAATCTAGTGGAATTACTGGAGAAATGAAGTTTTAAAAAAGTCTCTTTTGCTGTTTTCTCCTTCCCCGCTGCACCCACCTCAAACAATAGTACAGCCTGTTTTTGAATATTTTATGACTTAATAGAATGCCATGTTTCAGTAGACTTGAATCAATAGCACTTTATTCCAGTTATCCCTCTCTCTACCTTAGCTCTCCAGAGGATTGTAACTATATCTCCCATCCTTTTTGGATGTTGAGGCTAGAAAATTACAGAGCTGGGTCTTTACCAGATTGGCATCTATACGAGGATATTTTCTTCCTGGTACACTGATCAACTCACAGAGTGATAGCTTTTCATCACCTAGTCAAACATCTCAATCTCCAGAAAGCTTTTTATATACCTCTTTAATGGCATTATCATCATCCTTATTATTAAAATTATTGCATTTTAGCATGTAAATGAGGGAGGGCCATCGTTTTTCTCTCAGCCAGCTGGTGGTGCAGTGGTTAGAGTGCAATACTGCAGATTCTTCTGCTGATTGCCAGCTGACTGCAATTTTGGCAGTTCAAATCTCACCAGCTTCAAGGTTGACTCGGCCTTCCATCCTTCAGAGGTGGGTAAAATGAGGACCCAAATTGTTGGGAGCAATAGGCTGACTCTATAAACCTCTTAGAGAGGGATGTAAAGCACTGTAAAGCAGTATATAAGGCTAAGTGGTATTGCTATTTTAATCCAGGATCCTGGTGCCGCTTTCTGAGATCCACAAATAACCTCTACCGTACAATCTGTCCATTTATTATTTTGACTGCATGTAATAAAAAAAACCCTTGAACGTAATTCATTGTGCATTAAATTATAATAGGATCAGTTAGACGATAAGATACATAGTTGTGAATTGTCCATTGCTTGCTGTTTGTATTCAGCACACCAAATGCTACCTCTTTACTCTGCCTAGAATAGCGATATATTTGCTGAGAAGCAAAAATAGAAGCTAATCATAGAAATGATTAGCAAATAAACACTACCGGTTCATTTTATATTTGTGCCTGTTACTCTAAGGGGGAAGGTCTTGTTAGCAATGGAAATGGGGTATTGGTGCTTTTAAATCGAAGGCCAAGTTTATTTTTACATTGTACTGAGTCTGGTAGTTATTCATTTGTCTCCATCCCAGTGAATTATATGCACATATAAATGATATATACAAATGTTCATTCTTCCCTCTCAACAATTTCTCCTCTTTTTTCCTCCTTAACTATTGAAGCCAAGGCTTAATGGATTTCTAGATTCTTGCAGTTCCGCTATTGATCGAATCTGCTGAGCAAGGGATTACATTCAAGGTGTGAATAATCTTTTTCTGTGCAAAAATCAAGTGTGCAGTTTCACGCAGGAGGTCATAAAGGGGGGTCTTTATTACCCCTTCAGCTCTACTTATCATTTATCCAGAGGTTCAAGAAAGATACAAAGAAATGCAGCCTTAACCATTGTTTTTTGTTCATTACTTAAAGCTATATACATACAAGCACAAAAGGATCAAGGAAGGGAAGGGTATTCTAAGAGTATACAGGGTATTCTAGGTATACAGGGGATATCAAAACATTGTCGTTCTGTTACAAGCCCTGCCCCCTTTTGTACACGGGTCATGTACATGAAAGGAATATGGCTAGTATTTCCATGGGTCAATTCTACTTTTGTCATTTTTATGAAAAGTATCAATCCCACGGATGCATAAAATGCACCATGCATAATGTTTCATTCTCTGTGTATGAATTATGAATGAGATACAAATGAATACTGTGCACTATATGTAATGCCTGCCTAGTAACACCGAAATAGGATGGTCACATCTATACCTAATTATCTCCTTCTACCAACTATACTGACGTATGGGAAATGAAATGATTACATTTTGCTAATAGCAAAAGAATGCAAGGATATGTTAAGCAGATGTCAATGCAGTGCATATATTTTCTAGTTAGTGGAATAAGGACAACAGCAGTAAAGGTAATCTCTGGATTAGAAATCCTAATTTTGCATGCTTGGGATGGCTTTAGTTGTGGCATATAGGCTGAAATATGCCAGAAATGCCCTTATCATTAGCAGAAAATGTATGTAGCATAGGAAATGATGACGATGTAAAACCTAATATACTTTCTCTATTTTCTAGTTGCAAAAAAGTGTCATTCCTAGCACCTCCCAACCCTTATCCTTCATTGCACTTGGTGAACATATCTTGCATTTTATTAAGTTTCTCCATTCTCCACAGACCTCTCAGAAACTGGATGCCAAGTATGTTTTAGTGCCAGGGGCATTTGTGCTTGGCCAGATATCCTAGCCCTAACACAATGCTCATAAAGTTGCTTTGAGTTGTGCGTTGTTACTGCAACTGTTTACTACATATTTATTGTCGTTGGTTGTACACTCAGCCTGATGTTTAGACTGAATTTAGCATATTTATCCTACCCAAGGATCTGGAGTGGGCAAGATGGTATAGTTTAATGGTGTTAAAAACATCATCTCAGGATGTAAATTTTTCCAAGTAAAGCTAAATAAAATACTAAGGTTTTTTTTATCTGTAGCTATGCAAGAAGTAATTGTCTATCAACTATTCATCTGTTCTAGAACATGTGATGATGTGCTTAATATTTTAATGACTTTTAGGCCTTTCTTTTGATTCAAGAGCTATGGTGGTAGCAAACTGGTTAGAATGCAGTATGGTGGGCTAATTCTGCCCACTGCCATGAATTCAATGCTGACCAGCTCAAGGTTGACTCTACCATTCCACCATTCCGAGATCGGCAAAATGAGGACCCAAATTGTTGGGGGGGGCAATATGCTGACTCTGTAAACCATTTAGAGGGGGCTATAAATCTCTCTGAAACACTATAAGTCTTAAGTGCTATTTTTTAATTTTTATTTAGCTCCTTTTGTCTGCTATGTTGCATTATCCATCTTAAACTTTCATTGTCTGATGAGAAGAAATTATCTTAAAGATGTGAACTAAGTTAACTTGCCCAGAGTATCTTTTCTCTTTTTCCTCTTTTCTTCTAGAAGATTGCAGTGAGTTTCTTTTTGTCTGATGCCGTAATAAATTTAACCAAGCATGTATCCTTTACATCTAGGTCAGTCAGAGGGACAATCCAGCACTGGAACCTATTATCCATGGGCTGAAGGGGGTCGTACATCATGGTAAGTAGTTTCTTAAAGTTCACTTGTGTTAAGAAGAGTAGAAGACCCACAGTGGGTCACCTTTTCAAAAGACAACCTGAGTTGTATATGTCTCCTGTAATTGTATTTGAGGCCGTTGAAGCTGTTATTCGGATGCTGTAAATCTCAGTCACATTTATTAGCTGAAATAGCTTTGGACTTATATTAAAAGGAGTCCTTTGTTAGCTTTCATTTGGAATATTTCATTTAGGATATTTCTTTTTGTAAAGAAGAAAGTTAAGCATGTTATGGTTTCTTATATTTTGGGCTTTCAGATAATATTCAGTTTGCTGAACATTGAACTTTCAAAAATAATTGAAAAATAAGTGCTTAATTTTTCTATTTCTTTAAGAAGTATTTGTCTTTACAATTTTACAGAGCTGATAATGGATCTTTAATTTCCACAGATAATTAATTTATCTCAGGATAAAATTTAGGAGGATATCTTTCCATTACTGGCATAAATGTAACCAGTTTTCTTAATCTAATGCATATAATCCAAAGGATGAATTGGAATAAGTAATGAAATAAATGTAACATATCACAAATTTATATTTAAAAAAAATAAGAAACATCCTAAAAGTCTTATTACCAATAATTCATAACTTGCAATTAGAGCAAAGCTGTGTCAGAATCAGCTTTGTCAGATTTTTAATGTAATGATTTGCAAAGTATTAATCATTCTGTTACAATTGGCAAGAAAAGACTGGGAGATTGTAATGAAGCTCAGTTCCATCTAAACACTATTTTCACTTCTTTTCAAGGAGATTGTTTTTAGACATTTATAGAGACATGCAGAGCTTATAACTTTTTTCCCCTTCTTGAACTGAAACCTAAAACCAAATTTTAGTGTTATATTAAAACAAATAAGTTTCCAGATTAATTTCAAAACCTTTTAATGTTACAAATTTGAATGTTGTAAATCTGCTGGCAATTAAAAAAAATGGAGTTAAATGATAATATAGCACCAAGTTCCTCATTTATGGAATTATTTATAGGTTTGTTGCTATTTATAAATATCAGTCTTAAACTTCAAAGTAAAAACTAGACACTGAGCTAAACACAATGTTATTTTCTTCAGAAATAGATATTATTATCTAATGCCTGCTGGGCAGCAGAAGAATCTGTTAGAAAAAGTGAAAAGAGCAATTTTAGTGATTCTATAATTTGATAAAGAAATTGTGTCTATTACTGTTTACGTGACCTAGAATATTTTAGTTGTATCATCCAGTCTGTTTTGTGCATATAGACTCAGTCTATTCCTAGATTACTAAAATGATCCCATTCCACTTCCATTTGTTGCTGGAGTATCTGTTGGTGCCTAATCATACCTGTATTTTTCAGATCTACCTCATTGTCTTAAGAAAAAAATCCTAGGACATAGTAATGTGTCTTTTGTATGCCTTTCTCTCCTTGTGTAATTTTTTATTTATAATATCTGAATCCCAGAACTCTCCACACATATATCAGTCTGACTGGGGATATTGGTAGTCCTCATTTAACGACTGCCTTGTTTAGCAACTATTTGCAGTTATGACAATGATCAAGAATTAACTCTGCAACCAGTCCTTGCATCTATGACCTTCACGGGTCTGTAAAGCAAAGGAAAGCTGAAGATCATAAAATCATGAAGTTTCACTTAGCGACCACTTCACTTAGCCATTTGGTAGTCCCAATTATGATCATAGATAGATAGATAGATATAGATATAGATATAGATATAGCTTCTTTCTCTGTGGGTTTTCCTCTCCACAGAAGAGAAAATGAATGTGTGAGCTTTTTTAAAAAAAAGTCTTTTTTCAAATAGAAATTTGAAAAGAAGACTAAAAAGACTTTAGTTTAATGGGAAGGTGGTAAAGAGAGAAAATCTAATAAAAGGTCAACCTCTATTCTTGATTAATTAAGAAAAAGAAATATGTTCTTTAATTTGTCTGGTTGCAGAATCCAATAGTCATTGTGTCTGGAAATTATAAGAATTGAAGTCCATTCTGTTTGGAAGGGAAGGTTGATTCTAAGCACGTGGCCAAAGAATTGGCTGATTGTTTCCTTTATTGTCCTTTTAGATTCAAATAGTTCAGAACAGTATATAATGTCCATTTTTTTTAGAATAAATCAGAATTATTTGTTTCTGTACTTGCTTGATTTTTTTGAGTCTGTATTTGCACATAAGAGGCACCACTTTGGCTACATCATCATATTTAATCATCAAATATTCACAGGGCAATAGTGAGAATTTTCTGATTTCAGACAAGTGCTTGGGCTCTAAGTTATGTGTTATGTGATAGGAAAGAAAATTTTAAGTATTAAAAACTTGGTAAAAACCAAATGTGTTAAAGCACACTTTGTTAGCGTTCTCTTTGATTTTTCTTTTTTTCTTACTTTTGATTCTAGTATTCTGATGGAAATTTATCACATTAAAAAGAATTATATGCGTGGCGTCATATACTTGCAAATTACAGAACTGCGACTTCAAATCCTTTCATGTGCAAAATAAAAGGAATTTTATTTGAAGTTGATATTTACTTATAATTTTAATTTCTGGTGCTAACCGTTCCCATGTGAGGCAGTTACAAGGGTTAGAAATACAAAGGGGGAAAATCACAACAATTAAAAACAAGGAGCTCAAACTCAGTATATGGGCTCATACAGCATGTTGGACCAGTATCTTTCTGAAAATAGCCTGGTCCCCAACACTTCTTGAAGGGCTGGAGAGTTGGAACTATGCAGATCTTTGGAGTCTTTTTCCAGAAGACAAATGAAATAGTATGAGAATATATATGTCACACCCAGGCCTAAAGACTAGATAGTGAAATCCAATCAAGTCCTATCCTTTATTAGCTTACGTCTAATAGACAGAATCTTGCCAAACTAAAGCTATAATTTCCTAAGTTACAGTACTATATAAATATTGAAATATTCTAAGGTATGGTTATTCTGACCCTTATCCCTCCTCCCCCATCCAGTTCAGGACTGTGCAGTTTCTTGATCTGAGTCTCTTTCTGGGAAACTCCATGTAAGCCAAATCTTCTTGTCTACCAGGTGTATATTCCATCACATGTCACCCTACAAGATGACATTGCTTAATAGATAACTGTGGGGAGTTAGTTGAGGATTGTGAGTTCAGGGGCAAAGAAACCACATGGATCACATGAGGAACATTTCAAAGAGAATCCACCTTAATTAACTGTAAGTCGAGCTGGGTACACTTACAATTTTTAAGATTGTGTTGGTGCTACATACCAACATTAATTCTATCTCTCTGAAAATATGTATAGATCTTGCTTCCTTGGTTGGCCAGATATACATAGGAGACTTAACCAAATGGCACCCAAAGCATGCCAACCTTCCATAAGTAAAGAACCAGAATGAGGCATCCATTCAAATTATCCTCACGGTCATGTTCAATTAAGGGAAAATATTAGGATATTTATTTAGAAGAATTATTTCAATCAAAACTCTTTGACAAGTCAAATTCAAATGTTAAAGAAGATAATAGAAAACATGTATAATCTTAGGTTCTATAAATAATTCTCCAAACATAGTATTTTCCAAATCTGTTAAAGATCTATTGCCGTCATTGACCGCTGGCTTGCAGCATTTGACAATAGACGATAGGTTTTAAAATCCAATATATCTGGTGAGTATATTTGGAATAGTTACCCTGATGGTATAGTTATCCTAGTGGTTGGGATTTCTTCCTTTCTCTTTAATGCCAGAACAATCTCAGCCAGAGAACTGCACAAAATGTGCTACTTATAAAAAAGAGCCAATTTGATTGAGTGGTTAAGACACCAGGCTAGAAAACAGAAGACTGTGAGTTCTGGTTCAACTTTAATCATGAAAGCCAGCTGGATAATTTTAAGTCAGTCATTCTCTCAGCCCAACTCACCTCACAAGGTTGTTTTTGTTGTGAGGAATATTATATTATATTCTCAGCCTTGAATTTTTTAATAAAAAAATTAATAAAGTTAGGATTTTAAAAACTCTAAAACAATGTATGTATCATTACAAGGTGGCAGTTTTGTGACCAGGGGTGGGATTCTATAGATTTGTACCTATTCGCTAGAACTGGTTGTTAATATTCTAAGTAGTTCAGAGAACCGGTTGTTAGAAGAAATTACTGGCCTAATCCTGTAAGGAAGGCTGGAATGAAACATTCTGGTGTTGCTTACAGAAACTGCCTCTCTGTTAAGCCTTATTACATTCTTGACAGGGCTAGACTTCCTGTCTCTGGAACTTCTCTGGAGTTTTTTTTTCCCCTTCTTTGCTGGTACTTTGCTTGTGTAGAGTGACCATTCAAAGTTACAATGGCACTGAAAAAAGTGACTTCACATCCCCAGCATCCCCACAGTCATGAGAGGCCAGGCGAAGAGATGCATGCCTCGGTGTGAGTGATGTTGAGTTGGCCATGCCCATCCAGTCACATTATCCAACTAAGCCACGCCCACAAAACCAGTTGTTAAAAAATTGAATCCCACCCCTGTTTGTGACCATCTCTTTTTTGTCAAAGTTCTCTCACTTTGCAGTGCCCTTTTAGATAATAAGAAAGATTGATAATATTAGAATCACATTCTACAGGAGTGAGAGCTATTTTGGCTAGAGATTTTGTCAGGGACTTGAATTACTGACTAATTTGATGGAACATAAATAATTGTGTCCTTCACACTGTCACCAGCTTAATGATGATAGAGATATGTCAACATAAAAAGATCAATGCAGAATTAACGGCCACTGGAAAGGTTTCTTTTTCTTTCTCTAGGGATCCATTTCTTAGAATTCCAATGTCACATAAAGTTTAATTTTCAAGAATTAGACTAGGAGCTTATGTGAACAAAACAGACAATTTGAGAAACAATAGAACTGAAGTAGAAAATAATGCTTAAAAGGTTTTTTTTGTCCTGAGTTTTCCTACGTTCGGCAGGTGTTTATAATTGCATGCCATTTATCTCTGTGTAATTACTATGGCTGCAGCAATGATTGGT